GGAATATTTGTGATTCTTTACTCGTTTGCGCTGTGTGCTTGCTCATGCGCGTGCAGGCGTGCGTTCTTGCAGGCCTGAGTGTGTGCGTGTGCGTGTGGGTGGGTGGGTGGGTGGGTGGGTGGGTGTGTGTGTGTGTGTGTTTGCAGGCGTGTCCCTGCACGTGTCACGCGTGTGCGACTTTGCGAGTGTGCCCATGTGCGTGTGTGCGTGTGTGCCTGTGTGCGTGCGTGCGTGCGTGCGTGCGTGTGCGTGCGTGCGTGGATGTGTGTGTGTGTGTGGATGTGTGTGTGTGTGTGGATGTGTGTGTGTGTGTGTGGCTGTGTGTGTGGATGTGTGCCTGCGTGCGTGCGTGCGTGCGTGCGTGCGTGCGTGCGTGCGTGCGTGCGTGCGTGAGTGGTTGGGTGGGTGGGTGGGTGGGTGGGTGTGTGTGTGTGTGTTTGTGTTTGTGTTTGTGTGTGTGTGTGTTTGTGTTTGTGTTTGTGTTTGTGTTTGTTTGTGTCCCTGTATGTGTTTTTGCGCATGTGCGTGCGTGCTTGCGAGCGTGCGTGCGTGCGCGCGGTGCACATGACTGCGGGGGTGGTCGGGATGTTCTGGATAGTCGGGACGATCATGGGATGCTCGCGGCGGTCGGGATGGTCGGGACCCTCGCTGTGGTCGGTGCGGCCGGGATCATTGGAGTGTCGAGATGGTCGGGATGGTCGTGGCGGTCGGGGGGGTCGGGATGGTCGAAACAATCGGAACGATCGGGACGATGAGGATGGCAGGTTAATTTGCACCCCCATAGCTAGAGCTGCGCGCTCTCAGTTTACATGTGACACAAGTGATCAATATTTTATGTAGCATCATGGACAGTCAATGTGTTCTTCATGTCAGCCGGGTGCCAAAGCTAGAGCTAAATGTCTTCATTTTGACCACGCTATGATGGTCATGTTATGTTTGCTTTTCGTCTCGGGGCAGCCAAGCACCTACATTTGCATTTGGGGGCTATTGTAGCGACCAGCTCACAGGTATAGCTTGACCAATCAAATTACTGTTCAGCCCTCCCAACGCCCGGATTTCTGATGTTTTGTCAGGTATTTATTTGACCACTTATATCAGGAATGTAGAATTATGTGCATATGAGAATGTATTGTATATGGAAGTACACATACTGTCATAAAAGTTTGATATTGGCACCTATGCGACTTCAATCACCGAAATCTGAACATATTTAAAGTCACCCGAAAAATATATATAAAAAGAAACAAAAAAACAAGCGCAAAGCCCGATAATTAAAACACCATGTCCAAATTTCGGACACCGAAATCTGAAGATATTTGGACATGATGTCTTGATTCACGAGCTTTGCGCTTGGATAAATATTTTCGGGTGACTGGGCGAACCGAAGCGGGTCCCAACCGGGTGACTGGATCCGAGGCATCAAGCCACGGGCGTCCTCTATGAGCACCTGCAATCCTCTGGCCAGTGCCAGGCACACGGCAACGCGAGCGCGACGCGCGGAAACGCGGATGATCGGCGTCAGGAAGATCTGGATTTCTCATAGACCGGAAATGATAATTAGCGACCAAAGCTTTTCCACAGCTTCTCGTTTATGAATGCTTTCGAAGAATGACATGGGCCTGGGCGGCGGGCCGGGGGGGGTTGAGGGTAAGGGGGGTGTTCGAAATACCAATCATGAGACGCTGTTGTCGTGCTGTTGCGCTTATCTTCTGTAAATTGAGATTGTCCCCGCAAAAAACAACAACATGGCTACGACTTTATTGGAAACAGCGAGTCTAAGCGAGGCCTAGGCAGTATGTCAGGGTGGTGGTGATGGTGATCCTTGTCACGCTGGCTTGGCTTGGCTTGGCTGGCAAAACAATATAATTTGTCTCATTTTTTCTATCCTACCAACACATACACAACTGGTTTCTTGCTTTAACAGTAACATGGCCAACAGGAGTAGCAAACATGTCATTCTTCCGCTCAGCTTTTCCCTCTGTCAAGCCATTGCTGCAAAAATAGCGGTTGTGGCAGATGTTGGCTTCTGCCTTCTGGAAAGCGTTGGGGGGGGGGGGGGGTCCGGCAATGTTTGGTGATACCAATTTAAGGGTATCCCCTTGAAAGTGATACAACCAGGAAGGGGTGGGAATCCCATTTAGGTCGCACAGAATGGACAAAGGCACTTTGGGGGTCGCTGGGGGGCCGGGCAATCTCTCGTTGATTTCACCAAAAAAAGGAAGGACTAGCTCGATGAACCATGTGCGGTTGTTTCCGTCACTTCACAGCCGGCCTTTGTTGCCAGTCGGGAACGGGTTTTACACGTGTTCATCAGATTGTTTGTAGTGGCTGCTCTTGAGCACGTTGCTTTTGATTGATTTCACAAATGAGATCATGCCAACTTTCGGCGCAAGACCAGTCATTCATTCGGCAGTTGATTTCACAAGGATTGAGCATGGTGAACCACTTCTTGGACAGTGCTCTTGGTTCATTTGCCCTTGTGTGGTTTGTCCACTGGAAACGAATGGCCTGCGAGCTCTGTGGCTCTTCACTGTCGCAGGCAGTGTGGTCTTCAGCGGTACCCCAGTTGAATGCAGAGATTTGGACGGCGCCAGCCACAGGAGGAGTGAACACGTCACAGTGAGTGGGAAAGCGTTGCCGCACAGTCAGAGAGACATACAAGCAGGTCGGGGAAGAGCAGGGATGGGAGAATGCTTGCCTCTTTGAAAGACGGTCTCAGCCCTGCGCTCACCTAGTCGCTGCTTGTTTGAGTTTCTGAAAGTTTCTTGCTACTACCTCGGCAAAAGTAGCGCCGTAACCATTTTCAAGTGGCCCTGCAGCGTTTACCAATCCACACGAGACTAGAGGGAATCTCGTATAATATTGCCATTTTTACTCCATGATGGCGCACATTCGGTGTTCAAGGTGTTTGCCTTTTCACATAATATCCTTCCCATTTTAGTCAGTGTGCCATTACATAGCAGGCAAGTATGTTGTGCATCTTACACCTCTGCAGAGAGTCGAGAGTCGTTATGTAGTTGGATCCACTGGGCTGTGCTTAAACCTCAGGCAGGCCCTGAGTGATTCGTTCCTTACTCAACATGTCTCGCGCTTAACTCTTGTTTGCGAGCTGTGTTTGAGTGTTTGTTGTTCGGTGCAAACTTGATTGCACTACACCGTGCTTGGGCAGCCCACCAACCAAGGAAGCACCACGAACCAACAAATTAAAGAGCCAACATAGCCAGCCATTCAACTAACAAACCTGCCAATGAAGCAACCCATCAATTGCCTTTGCTGCCATACAATGTCAAGCACAAAGTCAAGCAAATCAAACACACACACACACACTAATCTCCTCCCCCGATTAATGAATGACCCCCATTAATAATAAATGCAAATCCGGGGCCCGAGACCAGATTTCCACCCCACACAATTGATTTTCCATTGCGCCAATACTACACCAATACTAAAGTCTGGGAATCCTTATTAGGGGGCACTTTTAGCAAGCTTCCAGCCTCACTTTTCAAAAGGTGGGTTCCTCAATTCCCCAAAAGGTTGCTTCCCCAAAAGCTGGCTTCTCAAAAGGTTGGGTTCTTTTGGTGGGTTCCCCAAAAGGTTGTTCTTGACTCTGTTGTCCCTGGCTAATTAACCTGCCTGGCTGCAAACAAACAACCAGTAAACTGAAAAACAAATAGAATGATACATCAAATTTCCTTATTAAACCGCTTCCTCGCGGAGCTTACAATTCAATCCATTTCCTCCAAATCCTATGTGAACCCTCACATTGTCGGAAAAGCAGACAAACCCCAACCCCAAAAAACCCAATTAAAAAAAATATATTTTTTGGGGGATATATTTATAATAGGGGGGGGGGGGCGTATTTATTAATAGGGGGAAGAGATTAAAACTGGCAATCGAGCAATAAGACGAGCAAAGTACCTGATTGTCTCTCGAATTATCTATGTATTGTTAGCTCATCCATCTCTTGCGCCGCTCAATGCATCCACTCATTATTTGAGCCGTAGATGACCAATTGTGCATCGAATGAGCAGATCGACCAGTCAGCAACAGCATCCGGCATTTGTGTCTCCGGTTTTTGCACTCTCGTGTTTGTCAGCTGAAAGGGTGGAAGCCGACCCGGAGGCAAGAATGAGTGGACCGATACTTTTTCAAAATCAAAATGTCACGCTAACAAACAATTGCTTGGGCAAATAGCCCGAAAGGTAGCCGTGCTAGTTTTCCTTGTTTTAGCAAATTAGGGGGCTGATACGGCTTCACGGATTGTTTTTGTTCAGCCTGAGACAGGGTGGGGGATTGATTCCAAAGACAAACTCTGTACAAAGGGCCCACCCCACCTCCGCGCCCCCTGGTCAACCTCCCGCCGCACACTACCAGAACATTCTCATAGTCTCGTCCACAGGTTCGCGATTGTTCGCGGCTAGGGTACCTATGATGACCTCGCCCAAGTTCGGGTCTGAAATGATTTTAGGGAGTTCATTCGAAGGTTGCTATTCGTCGTATATTGGCCACCAATGAGTCGCAGATGATGTCGTCGTTGGGCTGGCTAGCGTGTGTTCACCCGCCTCTCAAGTTTAAGCTGTTGGAGGTCTCTCGAAATTTTCAGGAACGTGTTTGACGTGATCCTGCACTTGAAAGTGCCCCCTGCAAGGACAGTGACCAAGTTCTGAGGCGGGGTCTCAAATCTGGTGAACACCCCAAGTGGCTGGTTTCAATTGAAACACAGGAAGCTCCCGTATACTTTTCCTCCGGATTTTGTCCAGATTCAGGAGTATGGGGTCTGACATGAACTTTGGACACGGCATATGGGCACAACTCATTAGGAGGCGCGTTTGGCATTGATTGTCCGCAGCTTGGAGAAGCAAAGGCAGCCAGCCACTGGACAACCATTAGAAGCAAAGACTGGCAAGCGTGATGTGGTTGGGGGGGCATGGTTTGACCACTTGCGAAGGTGCTGAATTATTTTTTTTCTTCTTCAGACTGCTTGCCTCAGCTTCCGGTTCATGCCATGCTTGGGCATATCCTTCCTGGTTCCTGCTCTGGCGCTGGAGCTTCCAGACTGCACCCACGAGCTCTGCGTGTCCACGAAGTACGACCCCGAGGCCGCCTCGCCGGTGGCGTGCGAGGTCTCCATCGGCGAGCTCCAGCCCGAGTTTTTCCGGCACCTGGGAGGGTGGCAGAAGAGGCGCGCGTTGTTTTTTGGTTTCACTGGGCTTGACGCTTAGGTTTGCCTTTGAAGGCAGCCCGACCGCAAGGGAGTTTCTATGTTACTGTAATTGGTTTGATATTGAACATAGTTTTGCGTGTAGCTGGAAAAGCAAATTTACAGGCAAAAGGGAAGCCATCGAGGATCCTTGCTAAGCTTAGCTGTTCTGCTGAGGTTTGTGTTCCCTCAAACTTGGTATCCTTGGGATGTTGCATGTCGAAACCATCCGTCTCCACAGCATCCTCAATTTTGTGACGTGCCAGATATGGGCGGGACAACTTGCAGCTCTCCAGCTACTTCTTGAGGGATATCTTCCAGGCGCAGATCGAGACACGGCTCTCTGAGGCCCTTGAGAGCTGCCCTGGAGCGGTGCTGGTGCCATGCTTAAATACCATCGATTCCATGTGCTGGGGGGGACCAGGCGCCAAAAGGCTAATTGTTTGGACCCTTGTGAAAGGAAGGTCTGACAGAGTGGCAAGTGGATATTCCTCGGGCACGTACTTCGAACTTGATCAATGCACCGCGATGTGGATGGGTTTGATGGTTTGTGCCACACAAAAGCGGGTGCATTTTCTCATATTTGCCTCATTCGGAAAGTTCTCAGGCAGCACATTCAGTCAGCCGTCACCAAGTGCGCACAGCGACACTTGAAAGCTGAAGAGCAGTTGTCCCCGCGTTCGTATGGGCGCTTGTATTATGTTGCGTTTAGCAGGGGGGTCTTTTTGCCGCCCATTGTGGGACAATGACCGGCCCCCTCGTAGTGAAGGATTCCTTATTGAGGGGGTCACCATTGTCTCACAAAAGGTGGCAGAAAGACACCCTCCAGGACCACCCAACGACCGTTGTTCTCAATTTTGTGAAAGTGCCGCCGATTTGAAGGCACTTGTGAAAAAATGCAATCGGCAGCACTTCAGGTCTATCAACCACCAGTTTGGAGACCATTCTCAGTCCATTCATGGCAGCTGAGTCTGCTAAGCGTTTTCCAAGCTCAGCGGCCAAAAGAACTGTCCGCGCCACTGTGAGCCTGAATTTGGACAAAAAACTAGCAAAGGCTTCTGAAAATCTTTAGAGGAAAGCAGCATGGGACAACGCGGGACGACACGGGGCAATACGCAGGCAACGCAGGGCAACACGCAAGCGACACGAGGCGAAGCGAGCACGACGCAGGGCGGGGCGCGCGCGCGCGATGCTGGCCGAGACGCACGTGACACGGGGCGACACGTAAGCGACACGCAAGCGACACGCAAGCGACACGCAGGCGACACGCAGGCGACACGCAAGCGACACGCAAGCGACACGCTTTCGCAGCCGAAGTGATGCTTTGGGGCTTAAATTTCATGCGTTGGGGCCCCAAAGCAGCACTTTTACTCTGCGTGACACAGGGCGACACGCAAGCGACACGCAGGCGACACGCAGGCGACACGCAAGCGACACGCAAGCGTGCCGCAAGCGGCACGCAAGCGGCACGTGGCGGTTTGCTGTAAGGGTCATTAGCAGGTTTTGTGCTGGTGTTGGCGCACAGCGTGCTGACTTTGGTCACACTGACTTTTTGCCCCGCCCCTGCCCTCGTAGATCCGTCCGATTTTACGGAAAATTGCGGAAATTCAGCAAAGCATCACTTAGCCAAAAAGTGACGTTGTTTGTGTTTTACCCCTAAGTCACGCCAATTTGGCAGCACTCGGGCGGTGCTGGCTGGTGTTTAGTGGATGTCAAAATCCATTGCCATTTTGAGGTTCAGCTCACAGGCTCCAGAGGCGTTAATGAGCGACACTCATTCAGCTGGTCACACACTCAGGATGCGGACAAGGTGCGTTTAGACTCAAATAGGACTTACACGGCGTGTCATTCAGGCGATGCAACGCACATGGAAATTGCAATGAAACTGTGTAGGCAAGAATGCTTGAGGTAAGTGTTTGCTTGGAATGTTTGCCACTGCTCAGACGATTCTTAGCATTCTAAGCCAGTGTTTACTGTACACAGTCTGCATCTAATCTTCTGTCCTCTTGCATGGTTTTATCATGTGAGTGCACTAGCCTGGTGCCTTTTTCTTGCTGCAAAGTTCCCCGAAGATTGCCCTCAATCATGTTTCCTCTTTTGAATTCTTAAAGGACTGAGTTACTAAGACTAGGAATCCTTCTATGACTTATGGGTTGTATCCACCGAAGCAAAGCTCCCTTGTCGGAACGGCGCGCCGAGGAGATCATGATGAACGGGCTCCTGGCCGTGGAGACTCGCCAGGGTCGCGATGCAGCTCGGGAGTTTCTGCTTCGGATCTACTCGCTGAGGGACATCGTTTTGGAACGGGGCGATCGATGGCTCGAGCAGCTCATGTGCCGCGCCGAGTATGGAGACATGTCCATGTGCACAGCATGTAATTGAGTTCCAAGCTTCACCAAAATGGCACTAGCAATTGACAGTTCTGCTTATGGTTGGGTATGTGCATTGCTAAACTGCGGGGTCGTTGTCCCATCAGGGGTTGCCAACATCACTGTAATTTGTACCCGCATGTTTGTTACAGAAAGAGATTGCGGACATTGAGCGCGGCGCAGGGGGCAGTGTTGCGCTTGCGCAGAGTTGAACGCTCGTGTGCTTTGTTGTTTTTCCCTGGCGTTGCTCACAGGCTGGAGTGGAATGCAGATATCGCATTTGTGTACCCGAAGTTGTTGGATATCCAAAGGCTGGGGCCTGACAGCAAGCTGGCAACTGGGGAGGAGGAGCCGTGCCTGGGTCAAAGAGTTTACCTCTACACGCTTCCTGCGCAGCTCTATGGGGGGACCCTTGAATGTTTGCAGGGTCAGTGGGGAACAGAAGTGCTGCTTCAGCACTATTTCCGGCACAACTGCAACACACAAGACCCAGACTTGGCAGATTGGTTCTATGTGCCGCTTCATGCAACGTGCTTATACGTGAAGCTGAACGAGAACGTCAGTGAACATGAGCTGGACAGCATGGACAGCATCGCAAACACCTTCATTTGGGAGCCACTGCTGCAAGCTCTGCGGGATTCGCCATATTACCACCGCTTTGAAGGCACGGATCACATCTTCTTGTTTGCCGACGGTCAAGGCCCCCGGATTTGGGACAGCTACGACCTCCTCCGGGAGTCTGTGTTTTTATCTCCGGAGAGCCGCTGCCCAACTTGGAACGAGCCACTGCGGCGCTATGTGGATGTGAAACGGTGCCTGTCCAGCTGGAAGGACATTGTGATTCCCGGGCATACCGACTACGCGCGCATCTTGCCCAATGGGTCACAGGCGAAACCTGAGTATTCATCATGTAGCATGGTCGTTGTGTCGCATTGATCGGTTGACCCCAGGCGATCATATGCAATCTCATTCTTGTTGCTGGTGCTATTGGCATTTACTTGACTTTGTCCTTGGTTGCCATGGTTGCTGGTTTTCAGCTTTCTTGCAAAAGACGGACTCGCACATGCAGTTTTGGGCGGTGTGTAAAAAGCAAAAGACGCCGAGGCATTCAGTACATGAAGCGTCACAACAAGCGTTCTGCGGAGCGGCGGCTCCTAATGACTTTCCATGGTCGGGCTCCGGAGATCCATGGAGCTTATAGCCAGTGTGCTGTGCGGGGCATGCTGATGAAGTTGGGCGTACGGCTTGGTTTGGAGGAAGGAGTAGACATAGGCTGGGCTTGCAGGTCGCATGTGGGTACTGTGACCACTACGTCTTAGTTCCGAGCTGTATGTTGTTTGAAGCCAGCTTTTGGCTATCCTGTCTCAGGATGTCCCTGCAAAAGCATCAGTTTGAAGTGGCTAGCTTGCTGAACTCTTGCGACGTGAGGAGAGTGGCCTTCACCCTGTCCATTTACTTAAAACGTGCAATCCAACGGTTATTTGTGACCTGAATGGTTATTTCTGGGCTGAAATGTGTTTGGTTCTCAAGGTCACCCCAGGTTTGACTGCTTCGGCCTTATCAAGAAAAGTTCTATTTCCTAGGCTTTGGCATGTACAACATTGCATTGTCTAAGTGTTGAGTTCAACCCAAACACGATCAAGGCCACAATTGTTGATCTTACACCGATCAATTTGACAGAGCACAATCCAAGTTGAGTCTGCTTGTTTGCTAAACCCTTTTTGCCTTCCCTTTGGGCTTGCACAGGTACAGTGTGTGGTCAGGGAAGCAATCAACAGTTGTCGGTACTGCTCGGCAATCAGTTCGTTTGCTAATTTGCATGCCAAACCGTTTTTGATAACGGAACATGATGTTTGCTTTCCGTGCAAAGTAACAAGTGGGGATGATAGTCTGCAAAATGTACGAACTGGATTCGACATGTGGGTGTGGCTCAAAATTAAAGAGCTAGGGTCACGCATGCTGTAGTGTTTGTTTCCATACACTAAGGTGTCATTTTGGTGCATGTTTCTGAGCCACAGCCATGTGTTTGTTTCAACCATCATGACTGCCAGGCGGATTTGTTGGGGACTACCTGGAGCGCAAGGGTGACAGCCATTTCTGCCTGGTGCCTGCAGGCACCAGCCCATGGACAAATCATCTTTACGAGAGTTTTTTTGCGGGCTGTATACCCGTGATTCTGAGTGATGAGTACGAAGTGGCCTTTCTCGAGGAACTGCCTTGGGAGCAGTTCTCCATCAAGTGGCCAGAGAGCCGCGTGTGCGAGGATGAGGCATGCACCTCCTCATCACTCTATGATCACCTGCGGGCGCTGGCGCAGCAACCGGATCGGCTGTGGCAGATGAAGCGCGAGCTGGAGTTGCACAGCTGCTACTTCAACTGGTACAGCACCGATGCTGTGCCTCGGCAAGTTGGCGGAAGACGGTAAAGAGCTGTTTTTCCCTCCTCGGGTGAGTATTGGTGTCATGAATATTGGGTATTGGTGTTGTATTGGTGTTGTATTGGTGATTATTGTCCACTATCAAGTATATCTTTTTGTCACACACACACACGCTGAGTATGGGTGCTGTCAGCACGGGAATCGCTGAGAGCTGGGCCCCGAGAAATGACCGTTGCCGCAACTGCTTGGAGTCTCAGGTTTGTAGCCCCTACCACCTGCTTCACCGGCGCCTTGGGGATCTGCTGAAGCGCCGAAGCCGCCAGCGGCGTCGCTTCTGGAACTGGGATGGCTCCGCCGGCTCCGACTCGCATTTTGTGCATCTCGCACGAGCCACCCGCTTCAAGGCGGAGAATGAGAGCAGCAACTTCTCTTGGCTGCTGCCGGAAAAGAAAACGGGGCATCCGCCTTGTGTGCGCATCTCTTGTGCCCTTGGAGTTGCTTGTCCAGATTCGGGACGTCATACTATCTGGGAAAATAACTTTAGCGGGAGACTGCCAGTCTGCACTTGTTTGGGACAATCCATGCAGAGATTCATAAGTCGCGAATGTGCGCGACTTATGCATGAGGTCAGTAGTCATACGTGATGGAGTCCTGCCACATGTCTTGGATACATGAAGTTTTGATATCATGATCCGAATTGGTGTGACCTTGGGTTTGATGGTTCAACAAAGCAGCCCTCCAAGAATTCAAACTGCCATCCTGGAGACCCTTTGTCCGCTCTCAGCTGTCCAAAAGAAAATGAGTGTTTTCACCGTTTGGTTCCCAAGTGCTGGTTGATTATATGTATTTAATCAGAGGTCAATCCTTTCTGATTGGCATGTTGGATTGGGGAGCAAATTGCATTATCCACTGGGGGGGGCCGTTCTGAAGGTCATCTCACTTGTTCAAAGCTGACCTGTTGACTCAGTTGACCTTTAGGTTTTCCAGTTTTGGCCCAGGTTTAGTCGCCCAAGATGATCACCGGTGATTTCTGGGTCCCTAAGGCCCGAGGGGCCACGGAGTCATTGAAGCTGCTCCTTTTGGTCCTTTAGCCGCGGGCGCCGGGCAGAGCCCAGGTGCTGCCTTTGCCGCCGACAGATCCCGCCAGCATGCAGGCACAGGGCAGGTCACTGGCTCGTTCCCTCTCTCCGTGAGCACAAACTCAGGCAAAAGGTCTCAGGAACATACTCTTTTTGTTTTAGTGGAAATTGAGAAAAAGCCAGTAGCCTTGAGGGTCCCTAGCGTTGAGAAACAGCCATTTTGCAGTTGGCTGCTAGGGCTCAGTAGCTCAACAACAACTCATTTGGGGAAAGCAAACAAAAAAAGCAAAAACATATCATAAGCAACAACTTAGGGCTGCTGTCCTGTGCCAGGATGGATTCACATTTCAAGGTTGTGGCACTCTGGGAAGAAGCATCACAGTCGACTTGCTGCTCCAAATCCAACCGCTCGTCCTTTCCCGCGAACCCAGGGAATACCACGAGTAAGCAGGCCGACGAACTCGAACGATGATTTTCCATTGATTTGCAGGGAACAGTTGATTGAATTTCACGAGGGCTCAGCCATCCTGGTGGACAGTTGTTGTGTGTTGCTGTATTTCCGGTTTGTTACACTGAGGTAGTTGTGGCACATTGCAACATGGATCTCTTCGCGAGCTTGTCAAATGTTCTCTGTGGGATGTTGGCGTTTATTCTGCAATAAGCTTTTGTTTTGATGCGCATAGATAGCCAGACAGCGTGGTGGGATTTGCAAGCTTGTAGAACCACACCGTCAGCTCTTTGGCGCACAACTTTGAGAACGAACAGTTCCTTGCACTGCGACATGATTATCTGCTTGCTCAAGGTTTGCGAACAGTCGCAAGTAACACACTTCTGGTTTGGCTTGTTCCGCGCCATGTAGATGTTTAATGAATGTATACGATATATAACGCATACATATGTATATATGTGCATAGTATATGTGCCCCCCCAAAGTAATCCCCCTCCCTCCCCCACATCGTCGGCATCATGGGGATGATGCTGGCAATGCTGGGGATGCTGTCCAGTGCCGTTGCCCTGCAGCTCCGGTTTCCCCCCGTTCACCCCGTGAACCAACCAGCCCCACCATCCACCCCACCCCAAAAATAGTAAAAGGGATTTGAAGGAACTGAAAATCATTTTACTATTTTTTTCTAACAAGCAATGAAAACACACATTGAAAAACCAAGTATCAAATAATAGATAAGGTTAATAAATCACAACCTTATTCATTCCAAGTAATTCCTAGAAAGATGCACACCTTATTCATTATTTTTTCACTACTTAACCTATTTCATTTTACTATTTGTTTACCCTTATTCATTTTGTGTTTTAAGTCTTTTTCCAATTCTCAGAAACTCCAGTTATTCTTCATTTTTTCTTTTTATTTTATTCATTGTTCGCGAATTTTTCACTCAGACTTAAAAATATGACTAAAACACATTTCACATAATAGTTCCACAAAACCAAACAGCCTAAGCACACAAGAAAACTAAGAAAATCAAATATTTCAATCTTTACAAACCATAAGTTCAATATAATTATAACATATAAGATTTTACATGTTATTATTATAGTATGATTATAATTTCAGTACAGGATAATAATTTAATTGACAAATCTTACTTCTTTCATACATCATTTTAAAAATAATATTAATATCTCTCAATGTATTTTGAATATTAAACTTTTTACGTTCAATAAATAATTTGATATTTTCTTTAACATCTTCTCCTTTCTCTTGACTATAGCCCAACATCCATAATATATCATAAATCATGTCATATTTTTGTTACTGATTTTAAGAAACTGTTTAACATAATCATAAGGTGGTATTTTATTTACAGATAGAAATATTAAAATCTCATCTTCTACATTTCAATTATTTATTCTTTTTATTCCCATCAGACATTTGATTAATTCTTGATAATATCTCCAATTTCTACAATTTTTACATATGTCTTCTTCACCAACCATTGAATAATTAATAATATTATTCACTATGTCATTAGGTAAATTCAATTTATACAATTCCATATTTTCTTTTTTGAAGTGACAACACTTATAGCATTTTTTATTGATATAATTATTGATTTTATCACCGTTCATTTTCCTCTTATTATATTAAGGCACTATTTCTTTAAGTCATTTTTAAGGCATTAATAAAAATTAAGAAACAAACCATAAGTTTAGTATAATTATAACATATACGATTTTACAATGTTAATTTATATTATAACAACATAATATACATACACCGTATTATTATTATTTTTGTCCAAATTCAATCAAAAATTAGGGATTACAACCTAATATTAGGGAGATTGCTAATTGCCACCTATCATTAGGGGGCTTGCCACCTAATATTACGGGGATTGCTAATTACCACCTATCATTAGGGGGCTTGCCACCTATTATTAGGGGTTTTCTTTTGAACCCAGCAAGGTATCAGCACAGAATGCGACCGGCAACACTGCCTGTCCCACTAAACATCTCTAATAAGTTCATTATTAAAGATATTTAGATAATATTATCTATGAATAAAAATCCCTGTTTCCTCGTTAAAAACTAAACTATGTTTAGTTTTCAATGAGTAAATGCAACTTTATGAATAAAGTTGCGTTTCCTCGTCATAGTCAATTTGATAAAATGTCATAGTTGAAGCCTTCGGTTCTTTAATTTCTTTGTTATTAAGTTTGTTTAAATAAATATTTCTTTTATTTTTATATTCCCCATTGGTTCTATCTACTTCTTTGCTTTGATAACTGTTTGTTAATGGTTTCTTCTTTTCCATTTCTTGCAAGATTTCTAAAATATTCTTATTCTGGTCTAAAATCCTGTTCAGTTTTTTAACAATCTTTTCTAATCCTTCATCCATGTAAATATATACTAAATTATAAAACTAAACTTTTAAAACTAAATGTTTTAATTTCGAAGGTCTTTGTTACTTATATGTTTAAATTCTTTGCCTTGCACCATAAGTCTAACAATGTTATCTAAATCTTTTTGAGTATGTCTACATACTATCGCTTTGTCTAGATATAAATATTCATAGCTAAGACCAACACTAATTAATAAAAAGTTATATTTTCTAGTTTGAGTACGAGTTAAGACTATTTTACAACCACACTCACAAGTATAATAACTAACACCATTATAATTATTGTCTCCAATTTGTTTATCTAATTCAATTGCTCCATTATGTAAATTTGTTAAACTTGAAAATTTGTCCATATACTAAATCATAAAATAAACTTTTAAAACTAAATGTTGCAATTATGTTAAATCTACTCTTTAAATACTAATTTTTCATTATTTGTTTAACAGTTTCCTGAGTTTCCTTATCACCATTATCGGATGGAGTAGCGTTCCGACCCCATTTAAATGTAATATTATGAACATCTGTTTCTAAGTTGATACTGTCTTTAGTTTTATCAATATTCATTTTCTTATCATTTTTACTTATTTTGAAAGTTGTTGGAAAACACGAACATTTCAAGTTTCCTTTCTTTTGTATTTCTAGTTCATTTTTCATTTCTAAGATTTTTTTACACATTGGACAAGCAAACTCAATAACTGATGTTTCTTTAACAACTTCTTCTTTTTCTTCATCAGTTGAAGAAACAACTGGTTCAGTCTTATTCTTTTTCTTTCTCCCCATCTATATTAATATTTATATTTTTAATATATTGTATCACAAACTTAATTAATTCTAAAACAAAATAGCATACTTTCTTAAATCTATTATCGGTTATAACAACTTGTTCTATATTTTCTACTTTATCTATTATATCAATATAATCCGAATAACTTCTATTCATAAAATAATAAATATAAAATATTTTCTAAATAACTTTAATATTATTTTATTATGTCTGATGTTCCAATAATAAAACCAATAAATATAACTGATTACGATTTCAAACAATCTAAATATGAACATGTGCCAAAACTACCTTTTCGCTCAATTGTTGTTGCTTCATCAACGGGTGGCAAAACAGTTTTAATTCAAAACCTTATCCTAAATGTTTATAGGGACTGCTTCGCCCGTATATTCATTTTTAGCCCGTCGGTTCATAATGACCCTACCTTCGTTGAAGTCAAGAAATATCAAAAAGATAATATGAAGGTTGATGATGAAAAAGAAAAGTTATATTATGACACCTACCAACCTGAAGAACTGGAAGAAATAATTAACACACAAAGAAAGATAATTCATTATATGAAAGAACAGAAGATGAAGAAACTACATTCAATTCTTATTGTTATTGATGATTTTTCAGATGACCCTAAATTTTTAAGATATTCAAAAATATTACACGGTTTATTTACGCGCGGAAGACATGACGCCATCTCTTGCATATGTAGTCTTCAAAAATATAAAACAATCGCCAATATAATTCGTGTCAATGCCAGTTCATTATACATTTTTAGATTAAAGAATATATCAGAGTTAATGAGTTTTATTGAGGAAAACTCGGCCATCGTTGATAAAGAGCAACTGTTAAATATGTATCATAAAGCGGTAGATGATAAGCCATACTCCTTCTTTTATGTTAATATGAATTCCAAAGATGTTAATAATATGTTTTATGTTAGATTTGAGAAAGCTTTTAAAATAAAATAAATCTATTATATATTATAGAATGTTAAAAATGTTTCAAGAAAGAATATATGAAGAACCAGTAAGGTTTTTTGGCAGCGATATACCAAAACAGATTCAGGAATACCGAAAGCAAAGACTACAACAATCAGTAGAGTGTGAATGTGGTGAAACTTTTTTAATGAAGGATGCTGCTAACCATATTGAAAGTGATTGTCATATTACTTTTAAGAAAGAAGAAAGAATGAGGAAAGAATTAGAAGAACATTTTCGTATAGAAAATGATACTGATAGTGATAGTGATAATTATAGTGATGGTGGTTCAACAAGAGTGCCAGATGATTAAAAAATAACTAAATATGTTAGATTTGAAAAAGCATTTAAAATAAAATCAATATTCAAATATATTATGATATTTTATGATTTACCAATAGAAATTAAAAACCTTGTATTATCTTATAATTTGGGTGATGTTAGATTATTAAAAATAAAAAATAATAATATTATTAAAAATTATATTAGTAAATTTAAACCAGTGTATAAGTCTTACAAATTAAAGAATTCACAGTATGTTGAAATTGATAATATCATTATGAAAAATATTATCAAAAACGGCATATCATATATTTTTAACTTAAGTGAGTTAGATAAATTACATCAAAAACATAAACCATTAAAATTATTAATTGAATATGATATATTTGTTACATCTACCTCATTTACTTTTTTTAATCATCTTCGTAATCGTACTTTAACATCAAATAATTTATTTGATATTTATTATTTTCTTAATAAAGACCTTTATAAAACTAATTTAGTGTATAGGGACAATGTGGTTAATTTTATTTCATTACAAGTGAAAACAATA